TACTTGGTGGGCACAGCAGACAGGAGAGGAAGGATGCTGAGGCCAGTCTCTGGCCCTGTTCTCATCTACCCTACCTTTTGCACCCGAGGAATGTTCTGGAATTCAGGTCAGGTAACGTCACTTCCTATGCTAGCTTAACCCCTCCGGAGACTCCCACTGCGCCTGGAAGGAAGTCTCCTCTTTCTGTCCTGAGAGCGTGACCATAGCTACTCATGGATCTGGTGGTGGCCACGTTGCATCCTTACCATGGCCCTGCATAGCTGGGGGCTGGAATCTCGTCTCTGGTCAACTGCCCCCATTCCTGGAGACTCAGCCCCACCCCCAACCCCCAGATTTGCACTTCCTCTAGCCTGTCCCATGGTACCTTGTGTGTATCTCAGGTGTAGCACCTTCTAAATGATAGTGGGTGGGTTATAAGTCTCTACCGCCCTCCTTCATGGGGTCCTCACACACAGGGAATGTGTCTGATTAGTCATCACATTCACAGAACTAGTGCAGGCACACAATCATGGCACCAAGCATTAAGGGTTTTATATGTTTTAACTCATTTGATCTTCCTAAGACATAACTCTACCAACAAAGGTCCGTCTAGTCAAAGCTGTGTTTTTTCCAGTGGTCATGTATGGATGTGAGAGTTGGACTATAAAGAAGGCTGAGTTCTGAAGAATTGATGCATTTGAACTGTGGTGTTGGAGAAGACTCTTGAGTCCCTTGGACTGCAAGGAGATCCAACCAGTCCATCCTAAAGGAGATCAGCCCTGACTGTTCATTGGAAGGACTGATGCTGAAGCTGAAACTCCAACACTTTGGCCACCTGATGCAAAGACCTGACTCATTGGAAAAGACCCTGATGCTGGGAAAGATTGAAGGCAGGAGGAGAAGGGGATGACAGAGCATGAGGGCATCACTGACGCGATAGACATGAGTTTGAGTAAACTCTGGGAGTTGGTGATGGACAGGGAAGCCTGGGGTGCTGCAGTCCATGGTTTTGCAAAGAGTTGGACACGACTGAGCGACTGAATGGAACAACCCTCTGAGAGCACGTGGCAGGGACTGCACTGACCCGTGATGGGTCCCCTTACTCCTCTCTGGGCGCACGACCTGACCTCATCTCCCGGCCTCCCTTGCAGACACGGGAGTCCGTGTAACCCCTTCTCACCCACGTGCGGAGTGGGCGTCAGAGCTCTCAGGAAGGCAGCCTTGCTCTCCCCACGTTCCTCCCCAGGGGGACACCAGGCATGGGGACCCAGCCCGGAGCACCAGGGCAATGGTAGAGCCCCCTGGGGCAGCTGGAGCAACAAGAGGCAAAGAGCCTGGGCCTTTGGCGTCACCGTACTGCGGGGACCCGCTTGCTGGTGAATGAGAAGTACACCATTGCTGAGTCTGAGACATTGCGTTTTGGGTCCATGAGGGCAGGTTAGCCCATCCTGACTGAGGCAGTGGAGGCGATGATTATGGCCCACGGGATGGTACCCATTCTAGAAGTGGGGAAACCGCAGCCTGGGGCGTTGGGTAACTGGGCCAGGGTCCCACTGCTGGTAAGTGGAGTGCTGGGGTGAAACCAGGCTCTGATGGAGCTGAAAGCAGAGAGAGGGGGCAGTTGGAACCTGGGAGGCTGGTAGCCAAGGGGCTTGGGGGAGAGGCTGGGAGAAGGGAGCAGTCAGAACCAGAAGTCGGGCCTGAGTTCTCAGTATCACCTATGGGAAACAGCCTGAGAAGGAGGCACTGGAATGATTGGCAGCTAGCAGGCAGGGCGGCTGCTGGAGTGTGTGGTTTACAGAGAGAACGGTGGGGCCCAGGAGGACCTTGGGTGCGGCAGTTAGCGTGGCAGATCTGAACGTCACTTATAGAGCACTTGCAAAGGCTTAGGACTCCAAGGAACCTTGGGATCATCTGGCCCACCCGCTTCTGAAGAGGAGGTCGGTTGGGAGGGGTTAAGTGGCTTGCTCAAAATCAGTGTTTTTTTTTTTTTTTTAACTGCAGAAGATGGCTTGTGTGGCACATGCTTCACACCAGACTCACATCTGGAGCCCAAAAGAGCCAGGCGCCCCCACCTGCCCCCGGCTCATCCCGGCATCACTGTGCTATTATTTTAACTATCGTGCTCATAGAGAAATACTGCCAGCATGTTAAAGATTGCGTTAATTAATTAACCAGGCACTTCATTGAGAGTCAATGGTGTAATTGTTGTTCGTGGTGGATAAATACTAATTGAATATTAAGAACATATTTGTGCAGAAGGAGCTGCTTCTGATGAGCCGTGCCCTTTGTCAGCCAGATGTTTGGACTCGTTTTGGAGGCTGAGTCATTAGCTGGGAGTGCCCTGGCATTTGGGCTCTGCTGTTCTGTGTCTGAGAAGGAAGGCAGGCAGCCTGTGAAGGACTGGCTCCCAAGCAGTAAAACGTGGGTGCAGGGGGGGACCTTCACAGACAGACTTGGAAAATAATAGTTGTATTAAGCAGATGACAAATATGTATCAAGCTTTTTTAAAAATTGAAGTATAATTGATTTATAATGTTAGTTTTAGGTATACAGCAAAGTGATTCAGTTATATATATATATATATATATATATTTTTTCCAGATTCTTTTTTCCTTACAGGTTATGACAAAATATTGAATATAGTTTCCTATGCTATAGAGTAGGTCCTTGTTGGTCATCTGTTTTATATATAGCAGTGTGTATATGTTAATTCCACAACTCCTAATTTATCCCTCCCACCTATTGAGCTTTAACTGAAGCAATTCTAGGTGTGATTTTAGGCATTGGAGAATCACTCCCTCCCTTTCAAATCCTTCAAACAGATGCTTTAATCCCTGCCAGTGAGGCAGATAGGGTGGGGCCTGTCAGCTTTTACGGATGGGAAAATTGAGGTTCTGTGAGGCAAGGTGACTTCCTCGGGATCATGATGCGACAAAATCCTGATCTCTGCCCTCCCAGCTACTCCACATCGCCCCTGTAGCAGGTGCCTCAGGCCTCCAGACCCCTGAGGAGCCGAGGGGAGATGACTGTCTTCCCTTGGTTCTCGGGGTCCGTGAGTCTCAAGACTGCCTGACCCCAGCAGTCCGGGCCCTCGGCAGACTTCCAGCTCTTGTGACTGGCTCGGCCCTGACAAGGCTGCATGAGGAGTGTGAACTCTGAAGCTAGAATTCTTGGCTCCAGAGCTCAGCTCCGAATCTTGGGCAAATCTTGAACAAATTTCTTAAACTCTCTGTGTCTCAGTCTGCAAATGATAAAATGGAGATAAAATAGGCCTTATCTCCTAAGCCGTGAATGGCCATACTGTGCCTTTCCATAGATTAAGAAAAGCTTCCCTCTCCCCTCCAAGGGTCATAGGTATATGCCAGGTATGCTGCTTGGGGAGATCATGGTCTGCTTTCTTGGCCAGATGCCCTTGTTTAGTGAACAACCTTCCCAACTGTACATGGCAGCCCTGCCTACAAAGTTGTCATGAGAATAAACAAAACATCATACAGTAAGTGCCTAATGGTGTTAAAATCTTCTTGTTTTCTGACCCCACCTCCTTGAGAACTGGGCATGACTTTGCTACCACCCATGCCCTGCCAACAGCCTCACTCAGAAAGACTGATAAGAGGATGTTGACACATGAACCAAGAGCAGGAGAGGAGACTGCTCCTGTCACCGCACTGAAGGCAGCAGAGGGTCTGCAGAGCCTGATGAGAGAGCGTCTCCCCAAAACTCTGGCCCCGGGGCCCTTGGAGCAGCTGTGGGAGGACCCCACCCTCCACCCCAGTTCTAGCATTAGTCCCTGGTCTCGGGGATTGCCGCCCACAGCTGTGCGAAGGTCAGAGGTAGCCCAGACACAAAGATTCTAATCCCATTGCGCCCAAGTTGAACTGGGAGGTGATCCCAGGACACGCTGGGAGTGGGGTGGGGAGGGAGACAGGAAGAGAGGGCTGTGATGGGGGCCACGGGGGCTCTGGGGACCCCTGGGAGAGACCAGAGCTCCGCACCAGGTGGGGCTGCCACGGGGCTGCTGCTGGGGGGCGGTGTTGACGCCAGTCATCACTCCTGGGCCAGGAGGGCCCCTTCCTGTGAGAGAATTCCTCGTGGAGACCCGGGGGCCTCAGTCCTCAGGACAGTACTGGCTGTGCCCCAGGCCTGTTGTATTAGGCCCCGCCCCCCGGCTGCAGGGACACGTGAGGCTCAGAGAGGTGGAGTGGCTTTCCTAACATCACAGAGCTAGTGAGCAAGAGTCACAGGATCGCTGTTCTGTGTGATCGGCACTGTTGGAAACCCACCAGGCATGAACGGGTCTACAGGGAGCAGCCCCCACCTTGTCCCACAGCCTCCCAGCGCCCCCCTCTGAGCAGATCGGAGTCCCTCTCCGCAGGGGGAGGGAGGTTCCCCTTCACACTGACTCAGCTCCTGGGCTGGGGGAGGGGTTCCAGCCTTGGGCAGAGGCCCAGGGCCCTCCTGTGCCTCCTGTTGAAACCTCAGCCCTGCCGCTGAGGCCGTTCTTAACCAGTCAGGATCTGTGAGAATCCTGGCAGCTCCCGGGCCAGACCAGGGCCCTGCCAGCAGACTAAAGGACGCCCTTCATAGCGTGGGAACTCCAGGCTGCCCGGAGCAGCCTGCGCTTAAGGACCATCCCTTCCCGCCCCACTCCCAATTCTGATGGGCAGAGCAGTGCTTCTGGGAGCGCCCAGTCTGGCTGGGGAGACGTAGCTCCAGGCCTCGGGGCAGCTCTGTCTCCTCTGCCTTCTTGACAGGGCAGCAGGGTCTGAAGAAACCCGTGCGGACACTCAGAGAAGCCAGCAGAATCTGGGAAGGTGGGTGGGTGCCGGGGTGGGCGCGAGAGGAAGTCTTTGCGCTCTCCCTTCCCGGCGGGGACAGCCGAGTCCTGGCGGCCCAGGGAGAGCTTTGCTGGCAGAGTGAGCCCAGAATCTTTCTCAGTGCTGGTACTTGAGCCTCTCCACGAGCGGGCGGGGATCTAAAGGAGATTACCATCTCATCACGGCCCCCAGGGTGGCCCACAGGACTAGTAAGCGCTCGGTTGGGTGGGATAAGCAGACAGATCTGGGGGTGACGTCAGAGAAAAGTGCCTTTGTAGGTGTCTTCGAGGTGCACAAGCCATCGCCTGGCCGCCCGGGGTGCGGGTCCGCGAACAGCCGGGAAGATGCCGGGGAAAGGCCGGAACTACTAAGGCCCTGGCCCCCAGATGTGTTGGGCTACGCACCCAGCACTGCTGCCTCCCCATCTCAGACCCTGTCATCGCCCCGCCTCACCCCAGCAAGACTCCCCTGGGAAGCTGATGACATCAGAGGTGCCCCAGGAAGCCGCCCGCCCCCAGGGCGACAGACGGGACTATTTATACGGAGGAAACGCAGCCCTGTCACCCTCCGATTCCACGTTGCCTTCTGCTTCCCCGGCTTCCTCCGCTCGCGCCGGGGCTGCTGCGCCTATATTAGGAGCTCGGCAGATGGAAGGGGCGGGACCTTCCGCGTCGCCCCGGGCTGGGCTCTCTGCACGTGCATGCCGGCCCTGAGCCATCAAGGACCTGGCCCACCCTCCCTGGGCTGTCTGAACCTCCCTGGGACCCTAGGGGGTAAGGACTCCGTGTAGACTGATTCTAGGGGGCGAACCGGAGGGACCCAAAGAGAGGGTAGGATATTAGATAGAAGATGAGTGGAGGAGACAGACTGTTGAGACAGGGGCGGAGACCAAGGAGCAGGGAGGAGGGGTCAGATCTGAAAGGAGGGTGTAGGGCAGGAGAAAGAGGAGTCTGGGGTCTGAGGGGCCCCCAGCCTCTACAGTGACGGTGTGAAAATCAGGAAAAAGCGCCCTCTGCGGGTTGATGAATTAGGAAACGGTGTAAACCAAAGGTGTCAGTGCTTGGAAAAAAAGATCCCCTTCCTCCCAGAGGACTGGGCCCCCGGGCCAAGTCGCCCAGCTTGGGGAGTAGGGTGTGGGCCTCGCGGCAGCGCCCCATGGTCTGCACAGCTGTGCCTGGCAGGCTTCTCCTGGGCTCGGAGCTGGGGGCTGCTTTGGGGACGCCCCAGTGCCCTGCTCCCAGCAGGCGGGTTCTGCCCACCCAAGAGGCAATCCGCTTAACCACGCTGGCAGGTAGACGAAGAGTTCTTGCCATCTCCCAATTGAGGGCTCCAGGTTTACCAGGGAACCCAGGCTCATTAGGAAACCACAGAGCACGTGGCCCCGGTCAGGCAGAGAGCCAGCAGGTGTCCCGTGGCAAGCTCCAGCCCGGTCTCCGATGGGGTGACAGACAGACCTCCAGCCCCACTTCTGCCATCAGCAGCTGCTCCCCTCTCCCGGAAGCCCTGGAGACCAGCATCTGGCTCAGCATCCCAAGCTCACCTGGGCCCTCTCCTCTGTCCTCTGCTGCTCTGTACACAGCAAGTGGGGCCTCTCACCACACTGGGTGACTGGGGGGGGGGTATCCTGCAGCTTTGATCCCCAATTGTGTTCTGTAGCTTTGGCACTGGGGAGGTGTCAGACACTGAGGTGCAATTTACATTTTAATAAAGAAAGTTGTATTTCAGTTATTTGCATTTAAATAAGGGGCTGCTTCCTCCCTCCCTTCCTCCCCTGCTGGTGGTGACACCTTTGGGAGAAGAAGGCTCCCCAGGCCTCTGGTTTCTGGCACCTTCTCCCTAGCCAGCTTGGCGGGGTGGGGGGGTGGTGGTGATGGGAACAGCAGGGATCCTCCCCCATGCCCTCACTCAGGCACGCTGTCTGCGGAGAGAGAGTGCATATACACATGTGTGTATATATCTCATGCCACTGGATGCATGCACAAACACCCTAGTTTATGCACATACACATATGCACATGCCACATGCACATGCAAACTCATACGTGCTGGCCCATACATGAAGACATGCATGCACCATACACTTACTGTACACACACACACACACACACACACAAGCTCTCCCACTTACCACTGAAAATGCCAAGATGTCCTCATGCCTTGCGCTCTAACCCCAGGTACCCAACCTGGTAAACCAGCCCTCAGAAACTTACACCTGTCCAGCAACACCCATGAACCCATGCCATCTGAAGAAGGTTCCTGGGAAGCAGGAGGGGCTGAGAGGCCTGGTGGCCATATCTGGCAGGAGAGGGTTGGCAAGTGGGGGCCTCCTGGCCCAGAATCACCCCAGGGTCCCTAGGAGCCCCCTCCTCACCCCAGCTTTGCCGCAGGCATCTTTGGCCCTGAGGGTGCAGCTGTGCTGGCAGCTTCCTTCTTTCATTGGCTCAGTGTGAGCCTCCCAGGGAGGTTGCCAGCTCGCTTTTCCTGGCTGGCGTTCTGTCTCCTGCAGCAGCCTCCAGCCCTTGTGTCCCCTCCAATGTCCCAGTCCCCAAATTCACAGTTTCTCCAAGACAAGAATTCTCTTTCTTCCCACGTGAGCCGTCCTCTGGTCCCCGCCTCCCAGCAGTGCTGCAGGACAGGCATAGATTTTCTCATCTCTAGGACCAGCCTCGACTCCTGTCGCTGGCTCTGCTTCCTCATTCCGGTGGGGACAGCTGCACCTATTCCTGGACTTGTGAGGTCAGACAAGTCCCAGAGTCAGATGCTCAGCATGCGGTCGGGGTTCCATTAATGAAGGCTGGCATCACTGCAGACCCCCCTGAATGCACACAGTCCCCCTCTCTGGGCATAGTGATGGGGCCCCAGGACAACCTCAGAACTCACGAGTCTAGACGAAAGCCCCCTCACTCAGTCCAGTACAAGAGCTGTGGGAAGAAACACACACCACCACTCAGAGGCAAAGACTTGGACTCTATGTTATTTTGCCCCTCAAAGCCTCGAACTCCCTATTGAGGGAGCATAATGCCCATAAAATGGGCACAATGACATCGGCCCACTTCCCTTAAAGGACATAAAGGGGTGCCAACGAGCAAAAGTGTGCTTTCACGCTAGGGAGGGATTTGATTTAGATCATACCTGAATGGTCTAGTGTTTTTCCCTACTTTCTTCAGTTTAAGTCTGAATTTGGCAATAAGGAGTTCATGATCTGAGCTACAGTCTGCTCCCGGTCTTGTTTTTGCTAACTGTATAGAGCTTCTCCATCTTTGGCTGCAAAGAATATAATCAATCTGATTTCAGTACTTACCATCTGGTGATGTCCATGTGTGAAGTGAGATCTTGTGTTGTTGGAAGAGGGTGTTTGCTATGACCAGTGCATTCTCTTGGAGTCTTTGTCCTGCTTCGTTTTGTACTCCAAGGCCAAACTTGCCTGTTACTCCAGGTATCTCTTGACTTCCTACTTTTGCATTCCATTCCCCTATAATGAAAAGGACATCTTTTTGGGGTGTTAGTTCTAGAAGGCCTTGTAGGTCATCATACAACTGTTCAACTTCAGCTTCTTTGGCGTTACTGGTCAGGGCATAGACTTGGATTACTTTGATATTGAATGGTTTGCCTTGGAAGCAAACAGATCATTCTGTCATTTTTGAGATTGCACCCATGTTCTCTTGGGACTCTTGTTGACTATGAGGGCTACTCCATTTCTTCTAAGGGATTCTTGCCCACAGGAGTAGATGTAATGGTCATCTGAGTTAAATTCACCCATTCCAGTCCATTTTAGTTCACTGATTCCTAAAATGTTGACGTTCACTGTTGCCATCTCCTTGGTCCCTCAGGGGACCAATTTTACTTCTAGTTTACCTTGATTCATGGACCTAACATTCCAGGTTCCTATGCAATATTGTTCTTTACAGCCTCGGACTTCACTTCCATCACCAGTCACATCCACAGCTGGTATTGTTTCGCTTTGGCTCCGTCCCTTCATCCTTTCTGGAGTTATTTCTCCACTGATCTCCAGTAGCATATTGGGCACCTACTGACCTGGGGAGTTCATCTTGCAGTGTCCTATCTTTTTGCCTTTTCATACTGTTCACGGGGTTCTCAAGGCTAGAATACTGAAGTGGTTTACCATTCCCTTCTCCAGTGGACCATGTTTTGTCAGAACTCTCCACCAAGACCCATCCGTCCTGGGTGGCCCCACACAGCATGGCTCATAGTTTCACTGAGTTAGACAAGGCTGTGTTCCATGTGATCAGTTTGGTTCGTTTTCTGTGTTTGTGGTTTTCATTCTGTCTGCCCTCTTATGGATAAGGATAAAAGGCTTGTGGAAGTTTCTGGATGGGAAACTTCTGTGGATGGGAAACTTCTGACTGTGGGGGAATCCTGTTCTGATGGGCAGGCCATTACCGCATCAGGGGTAATGGTAATGGTGACCTCCTTCAAAAGGACTTATGCCAGCGCTGCTGTAGTCAGTGCCCCCAACCCTGCAGCAGGCCACTGTGAACCCACGCCTCCACCGGAGGCTCCCAGACACTCACAGGCAAGTCTGGCTCGCTCTCTTTTGGGGTCATTGTTCCTTTTTCCTGGGTCCTGGTGCACACAAGGTTTTGTTGTGCCCCAGTCCTATGAAGTTGTGTAATCAAGTCCCAAAGTTAAATTCCCTGGGGCTTATCAGTCCCTTTGCCAGATTCCCAGGTTGGGAAACCTATTGTGGGTCCTAGACCCAGAAAATTTGGAAAACTCAGCAGTGGCCACAGGACTGGGAAAGGTCAGTTTTCATTCCAATCCCAAAGAAAGGCAATGTCAAAGAATGCTCAAACTACCACACAATTGCAGTCATATCACATGCTAGTAAACAGATACTCAAAATTCTCCAAGCTAGCCCTCAACAGTACGTGAACTGAGAACTTTCAGATGTTCAAGCTGGATTTAGAAAAGGCAGAGGAACTAGAGATCAAATTGCCAACAGCTGTTGGATCATAGAAAGCAAGAGAATTCCAGAAAAATACCTACTTCTACTTTATTGACTATGCCAAAGCCTTTGACTGTGTGGATCACAACAAACTGGAAAAGTCTTAGAGATGGGTATACCAGACCACCTTACCTGCCTCCTGAGAAGTCTGTATGCAGGTCAAGAAGCAACAGTTAGAACCAGATATGGAAAAATGGACTGGTTCCAAATTGGGAAAGGAGTATGTCAAGGCTGTATATCATCACCCTGCTTATTTAACATAAATGCAGAGTACATCATGCGAAATGCAGGGCTGGATGAAGCTCAAGCTGGAATCAAGATTGCTGGGAGAAATATCAGTAACCTCAGATATGCAGATGATACCACCCTTATGGCAGAAGGGGAAGAGGAACTAAAGAACCTCTTGATGAAAGTGAAAGAGGTGAGTTTAAAAATTGGTTTAAAATGCAATATTCAGAAAACTAAGATCATGGCATCCGGTCCCATCACTTCATGGCAAATAGATGGGGAAACAATGGAAACAGTGTCAGACTTTATTTTCTTGGGCTTCCAAATCACTGCAGTTGGTGACTGCAGCCATGAAATTAAAAGACACTTGCTCCTTGGAAGAAAAGCTTTAATAAACCTAGACAACATATTAAAAAGCAGAGACATTACTTTGCTGACAAAGATCCAACTAGTCAAAGCTATGGTTTTTCCAGTAGCTGTGAATGGATGTACAAGTTGGAACATAAAGAAAGCTGAGCACTGGAGAACTGATGCTTTTGAACTGTGGTGTTAGAAAAGACTCTTGAGAGTCCCTTGGACTGCAAGGAGATCCAACCA